TTGCTGAAGCTGGCTTTGAAGTTGTGATCCTCCTGCCTCAGCCTCTTGAACCACTGGGACATAATAATCCTTAATATGACCTAAGTACATGATGGAGAATAAAATAACCTTAAACTAATCAAAACACAGAAGCCAATATGACTTCATAATATGCTAATAACTGGGCTCAATTACTTAGCAGGGTCCTTAACCTCACTATTACCTACAAGTAAGTGTTTAGGCATTGGCTTCATGTGTTAGTCAGCTTTTCATTACTGTAACAAATGCCTGAGATAATCAATTTTTAAAGAGAAAGCATTGTTCTGGCTCACAATTTTAGAGGTTTCAGACCATAATCTATTTGCCCTATTGTTTTGGTCTGCAGTAGAGCAGCACATCATGGTAGAAGCATGTGGCAGAGCAAATTTTTGTCTGTTTTTGTTTTTTTTACTGCTATATTCTCGTACCTAGAGCAGTGTCTAGCACATTGTAGGTACTCAGTAGTATTTATTAAAGTAGTGAACAATTCCTCTGGTTAACCCTATCAGGCAGATTCTATTTTTATTACCCTCATTTCATAGAAAAGGGAATGGAGGTTTAGATAAGTTAAAAATTTTATCTCACATCATTAAGAAACTTACCTGCCACCCTATTAAATGGCAGAGCTGGATTTGAAATTAAGGTGTGTTTTCCTTTAAAGCCCTTGTCTCTAACCATTGCACATACCATGCTTTTTCTATCCTTACAATCAGCTCTTCTAGATCTATCACTGTGCTACAGTGTTGGCCCCAACATTTCTTCTTTAGATCTCTTTAAAGGCTCCTTGAGCCGGCATGGTGGCGCACACTTGTAATCCAGCTGAGGAGGCTGAGGCAGGAGGATCGTGAGTTCAAAGCCAGCCTCAGCAAAAGAGAGGTGCTAAGCAACTCAATGAGACCCTGTCTCTAAATCAAATACAAAATAGGGCTGGGGATGTGGCTCAGTGCCCTGAGTTCAATCCCTGGTAACCCCTCCCTGCCCGCCCCAGCAAAAAAGCTCTTGACCTCACTGCCCCATCCTCTATACAAAGCCAGGATGATCTTTCTTGTGTTTTTTTTTTAAAATATTTTTTTTAGTTGTAGTTGGACACAATACCTTTATTTTATTTTTTATGTGGTGCTGAGGATCGAACCCAGTGCCCCACACATGCTAGGTGAGCACTCTACCACTGAGTCACAACCCCAGCCCCCTCTTATGTTTTTATTAAGTGTGCAATCACATGATTTTAAACACATTCAGAGTTGCACAACTCTCACCATTATCTAATTGTTGAAAATTTTCATCATTCTGAGAAGAAACTTTTTACCCCTTTCTATAACTCTGTAGCCTAAACTAGCTCCTTTTCCCCAGGCAACTACATATCTACCTACTTTCTATGTCTATGGATTTGCCTATCTTAACATATCCTGTAAATATACTCATATAATTTGGGTCCTTTTATTTCTGAATTTAATTTATTTTTTTTTAGTTTTAGATGGACACAAATCTTTATTTTATTTATTTATTTTTATGTGGTTCTGAGGATCGAACTCAGTGCCTCACATGTGCTAGGTAAGCGCTCTACCACTGAGTTACAACCCCAGCACTTATTTATGAAATTTTTTTACTTAGCATAATGTTTTCAAGGTATATCCATGTTGTATTATGAATCAGTACCCCATTCTTTTTATTGCTGAACAACACTCCATTGTATGGAAATCAAAGTAGTATTTATGTATTCATCAGTTGATAGACATTTGAGTTGTTTCCACTTAGGACTATTTTCAATAATACAGCTGTGAACAGTCATATACAAACTTTTGTGTAGACATTTTTTTTTATTCTTTTGGTTATGTATCTAGGAATAGAATTTGGGGGGCCATATGATAACTCTAACTTTTTTGTGTGGTACTGGGGATTGATTGAACCCAGGGGTGCTCCCCCACTAAGCTACATCCCCTTTTAATTTTTTGAGACAGGGTCTCATTAAGTTGCTGAGGCTGGCCTCAAACTTGCAATCCTCCTGTCTCAGCCTCCCCAGTTGCTGGGATTTAGGCATGCACCACCACACCTGATATGTGACTTTTTTGTTGCTTTTGTGCTTTGGTGTCACATCTAAGAAATCAAAAGGTGATGAAGATTTACATTTATGTTTTCTTCTTAGAATTTTGTAGTGAAGTAACTCTTAGCATCTTTTAAGAATTTTATAGTCCAATGGTCAAAATGGTCATTGATCCATTTTGAGTTAGTTTCTGTATATTGTATGAGGTAGTGATCCAACTTCATTCTTTTACCTGGGGTTATCCAGTTGTATCAGTATCATCTGTTGACAAGACTGTTCTTGGCAACCTAGTTGAATTATCTTGGCTAGTTGAAAATCATGTGACTATTTAGATATGGGTTTATTCTTAAACTCTCAATCTTATTCTATTGATTTTGATGTCTCTATGCCAGTACCATACTATCTTGATACTATTTTGTAGTAAGTTTGAGATGAGTAAGTATGACTCTTCCAACTTTGTTCTTCATTTTCAATATTTTTTTGGATATTCTGAGTTTCTGGAAGTTCAATATGAATTTTAGAATCAGCTTGTCAATTTCTATAAGGAAGCTAGCAGGGATTCTGATAGAGATCACATGGAATATGCACATCAATTTGGGGAGTATTAATAATTTAACAATTTTAAGTCTTCCAATTCATGAATGTGGGAAGTCTTTTCATTTATCTGTCTTTTTAATGTCTTACAATAATAAAACTATAAAGTTTTATAGTTTTCAGTTGTAAGTATTCACTTCTACTAAGTTTATTCTGATTTTTTCTTTTCTTTCTTTTTTTAAGTTTTGAGACAGGACAGGATCTCAGTTGCCCAGGCTGGCCTTAAACTTGCAATCCTCCTGCCTCAGCCTCCCAAGTAGCTGGGATTACAGGTGAGTACAACCCCATGCCTGGTTTATTTTTTCTTTTTGATGTTAACATAGATGAAATTTATTTCTTAGTTTCATGTTCAGACTGTTTATTGTAATGTACAGAAATATAATTGATTTTTGTATATTTGTCTTGTGTCTTGCACCTTGCTGAATTTTGTTTATTCTTATTGTTTATTCTAATAGGTTTGGTTTTTGTTTCCTTAGGGTTGTCTGTATACATAAGTCATCTCATTTTCAAATAAAGATAGTTTTACTTCTTATTTTCCAATTTGGATGCCTTTTATTTATTTTTCTTGCTTAGTTGCCCTGGCTGGAATCAGGGAAACTAAGCAAGAAAAATATGATGAATAAGTACAATGATGAATAAGTGAACCTTCTATAACATGATTTTGAATTTTTATTTCCCTCCCTTAGTGTCTTTCAGTGACTCCACATTGCCCCCAGGATAAAGATCACTTTTTATTAGCATACACAAGGCCAGTTTAAATCTCACCCTAGTCTTGCACCTTCATAAGCTAAAATCTAAACCACCTGAATTACATATTTTTCCCAGATCTTTGCTCTTTTGTTTATGGACCTTTTGTGAACATTATTCCCTCTGCCTGGAGTATGACCTTTTCTGTCTATCCCTTGCTTCACCAAGGTACTTCCTATTTAGTTTTCAGGTTTCAACTTAAACACAGTCTCATTAAGAAATCTTTCCCTGGTCCCACAACATGAATGTATTCCTTCTGTATGTTCCTACATTTCTGGCATCTTAATCTTCTCCTAACTCCGTTTTTATTGCTTTTATAATTACCATTGTATTTGTCTGGCTTCCTCTCCAGACTGGGTGCTCTTTGAGGGTAGGACCAAGTCTTTTTTATTTTCCTAACTCCTCTTCATTGTAGAGATCTTAGCATAGTATGTACTAAAATTTGGCTTGTCAAATGATTGTTTAGGAATGCAAAGAAGCCTACTAATCTGCTCTTCATAAGTCCCTTGTTCTACAAGCCTCTTTTGGGGATTTTAATCGGTAGTCTAAAAACTAGTCCAAGAGGCCAGCTAGGAGTTTGCAGGATGTATGTAGTTCAATGCTGTTTTATGGGCCTGAGATAATTTTAACGCACCTTTGAAATTCCAATCAGAATCTTCTCTTGTTAAATAATTTTTAAAAACCTATTCACAGTAGTCTTTGTATGAATATTTAATTATAGGGACAATTTGTTTTACATAGAATTTCAGATGAATAGTCTTTCAGAAGTAATTGTTTTCTTGAATCCAATTCTTCAATGTTGAAGATTTTTTTTTTTTCAGATCCCAGTGCATTTTGATTTGACTAAAGCTACTACTAAAAAAAGTATCTTCTAAGCCAGGTCGGGTGGTACATGCCTGTAATCCCAGTGACACAGGAGGCTGAGGCAGGATTGCAAGTTTGAGGCCAGCCTCAGCAACTCAGTGAGGATCAAAGCAACTTAGAGAGAGTCTGTCTCAAAATTAAATAAATAAATAAATAAATAGGGCTGGGGATCTGGCTCACTAGTAAAGTGCCTCTGGGTTCAATCCCTAATAAATATATCAAATTTGACTTCAAATTTAATATATATACTTAATATATATAAAATCTTCTCAAATGCTTATTGTGTGCTAAAAACTTCATATAAATTGTTATCATTTTATCCTTACAATCTGTTCAGTGAGGCAGTAGTGATTATAATCTACTTTTTATCACAGAAGGATGGAGTGGTTAAGTAACCTCCCCAGATTCTCAGAGGCAGAGACAGGAGTTGAATGCGAGTCAAGTCTTTTTGACACTAAATTCATGCTTTAAACAATTTACTTCCTCTATCCTACCTACTGATGTATAATTCATATAATTTTATGAATAGGACAGTTGTAACTTACTTGAGGTTAAGCTTGAAAATTAGTAAGGCAATTGTATAGTGCCAATATTATCCTCAGAAAATTCTTCTTTAGTCTGGTGCCATGGTGGATGCCTGTATTTCCAGCAACTTGGGAGGCTGACACAGGTGGTTTGCATATTTCAGTCCAGCTTCAAAAACTTAGCAAGACCCTGTCTCAAAATAAAAAATTAAGTGTTCACTTTGGCAGTACATATACTAAAACTGGAATGATAGAGAAGATTAGCATGGTCCGTGTGCAAAGATGACACACAAATTCGTGAATCAGTCCATATTTTTACATGTTTACTTGCACAAAACTGATCAGTTTTGAGAGATTGTTAATGCCCTTATAGTGGTTTTTGTGGTTGTGAAACAAATGGTGAGAATTTGAATTGGTCCCTCTTATTATAGTATTGAAATTCAGTTTACTTAATTTATCAAATCATGTTCGTGTCCTCATTTTATATACTTGCGTCTATTAATAAACATTGTGATACATGAATAAAAATAAAATAAAAAATTTAAAAAGACCTGGGTGCCAGGCATAGTGGCACCTTCCTATAATCCCAGTGACCCAAGAGGCTGAGGCAGGAGGATTGCAAATTCAGAGCCAGCCTCAGCAATTTAGCAAGATTCTGTCTGAAAATTTAAAAAATAAATAAACAAAATAAAAGGGACTGCAGGTGTGGCTCTGTGGTTAAGTGCCCCTGGTTCAATCTCCAGTATCCCCCCCAAAAAGGAGGGGGCTAGGGACCTAGCCCAGTGGTAAAGTACCTCTAGGTTCAATCCCTAGTACAAAAAAAACTTCATAATTCATTCAGCATAATATGCAAACATAACATCTCCGCATGAACTCAACACACTCAATTGTTTTCATCAATGTTAAGTCAAATCCTTGAGTCTTTAGTTGAGTACCCGCTGAAATCCTTGTCTTGCATATAGAGATGATGCTGAATAACAAAAACAAAACAATCTTTCTTAAAAATTGGAGCACTGAAGATGTATAAATATATTCATATATAGTTAAATGCAAAAATGATACTGCTTTTCTTTTTATATATTTTGATCTTCTGGACTGGGGAATAGAGCAGGCAGTGCCTCTAGTGCAAGTATATGCCCTTTTATGTATCTCTCTGTGCCAAGTTTTGCCGTTAAATGGGAGAGTCTTCTTAGACTTTGAAAATTTAGTAAATTTATTTCAGATCTCTGTTAGAGGAGGAACACAGCATTTTTAATAAAGCTCACAGACATGAGGCAGTTATAAAGAAAGCAAATTCTTAATCAAAATCATCATCATAACAATGGGATAATACCTATTTGTTGAGCACACATTCCCATGTGCCAATTACTGTTCAAAGTGTTTTAATGACATGGTTCATTTATTCCTCTTCATCACTTTGAGATGTAGTTTACATAAAACTGAGACTCAGAAACTTTTAATAACTTTCTCATGGTATTATAGCTTATAAATGGAGGACCTTGATTCAATCTCAAATTTGACTCTCAAACTCATCTTCTTAACCACTGTGTTGATGTCAGGATTCCTGGTCTATAATCTTGACTTTATCTTAAAAGAGGAATCTTATTCACTGGGCTCAAAGTCATTATATTTGAAAATACCACCAACATAAAACATTAAGAGACTCCTTTCTTCCAGTGGGTAATTCTGCGTCTCGGAGAACTCTTTTAAAGAGACACACTTCTCTATGCCACTTCCAGTTTAGCCATAATACTGTCTGGGTTGTCTTCTTTTCTTTCTTTCTTTTAAATATTTTTAGCTGTAGATGGACCCAGTGCCTTTATTTTATTTATTTATTTTTATGTGGTGCTAAAGATCCAACCGAGTGCCTCATATGTGTGAGGCAAGTGCTCTACTACTGAGTTACAATCCCAGCCCTTGTCTTTTTTTTTTTTTCTAACCCTTTTTACCATTCTCTGTGAGTTCTTCCCTCTCCCATCTACACTATATTCCATCCCACCAGACCTCTCAGCATACTTGGAACACATTTGCTTTTCTGTGCTTTGCTGACACATATTTCTCTGGAATGGTACCCATTTGTTATGGTTTAGCTATGGGGTGTTCCCCAAAAGCTCGTGTGTGAGACAACACAAGCAAGTTTATATTCAGAGGTGAAACAATTAGATTATGAAAGGTGTAACCTAATTGGTGGATTAATCCATGGATGTGGGTTAAGCTGTAGGCAGGTGGGATGTGGCTGGACGAGGTAGGTCACTGGAGGTGTGACTAGGTTTTCATATTTTGTCCCTGGTGAGCAGAACCAAATCTCTCTGCTCTTCCTGACCCTGCCATGAGCTGAGCAGTTCCTCTGCTAGGCCCTTTGCCCATGATATTCTGATTCAGCTTGAGCCCACAGCTACAGAGTTGGCTAACCATGGACTGAACCTCTAAAATCATGAGCCAAAATAACCTTTTTCTCTTTTATGTTGTTATCGTCAGGTCTTTTGGTTGCAGTGATGAAGAAGCTGACTAAAACACCACTGTAGACCTTGGTCAGCTGGTTGATGAGAAATTTATGTTTTAAAATTATTTTTCTTGGCTTGGGAGGCTGAAGCAGGAGTATTGCAAGTTCAAAGACAGCCCCGGCAACTTAGCAAGGCTTTAAGCAACTTGGTAAGACTCTATCTCAAAATAAAATATAAAAAGGGCTGGGGATGTGGCTCAGTGGTTAAGCATCCCTTGGGTTCAAACCAATTATTCTGACTATGATATGGAGAATGGATATAAATACAAGCATAGAAGCAGAAAGATTAGTTGATTTAGGAGTGATTCAGGAGAAAGAAGGTGGCAGTGGAAATAATAAGAATTGGTCAGATTGGGATATACTTTGAAAACAGAATCAGATTTTTTTTTTTTTTTACATATATAGGAGATTTAGCCAATAGAACTTGCTAATAGGCTGGAGTTGGGCTGTGAGAGAAAGCACAAGAAAAGCAATGAAGGCCTGAACAAGACATTCTCTATTTGGGCTATAATGTGAGATTTTTCAATACACAGTCATGGTTTTAAACTAAGACACAACTGTGATTATGGCTTAAAGAAAAATCTTTGAAAGAGTTGTCTATTTGTCATTATGAGTGTGTGAGGGGAATGTCTTGGTTTTCACCAGTGACATGAACCAACATTATCAGCATCTGCAAAGTGCCAAACACTGCACTAGGCTCCTTCACAAAAGTTCCATCATTTAGTTTTTCCCCAAATGCTAAGCACCAAGAATATCCCCATTTTTCAGAGAAGGGAACCAAGACTTTGTGATTTGACTGAAGTTATGCAGCCAGGTAGAGGCTGAGCTGAGATCTGAAGTCAAAATGCACTGTGAAGCCCTAGTTCTTATCACTGCACTGGTTCAAAGATAGAGAATCAGGATTCCTCAAACTTTTCTCCTCATTACTTGAAGCCTTCTGTTGACTCTCTTATGCCCTATTTTAGAGCCCAAGGCTGGCAAACAAGATAGCTTTGTTCTGTCTGTAGCCTATCCTCTGACTTGGCCTGTGATTTAGGACAAGCTTCTTAATTTGATGGTGTCTCATCATTCACACATGTTAAGCAGGACTAGTAATTACTGATGGAAAAAAAATGCTTTGAAATCTGCAGATGAAAGGATTTTTGGCCTTGAGTGCAAATATTGTCTTTCCCATGGTATTCTTTTTTTTTTTTTCATTTTTGATTTCATACCCCCCACCACCACTTTTTTTTTTTTTTTTTTTTTTTAAATACTGGAGATTGAACCCATGGCTTCTTGCATGTTAGGCTAGTGCTCTACCACTGAGACATATCCCTATCCCCAGTTCTTTTTATTTTAAGACAAGAGTTTCCCTAAGTCATTCAGGTTGGCCTGAAACTTGTGATCCTCCTGACTCCAGAATAGCTGAGATTACAGGCATCTTCCACCATGTCTGGATATTTTTGGTTTATACAGCTTCCAGGACCCTTCATAAGAAAGGCGGAGGAAAGGAGGAAACAGGGCAAGTGTAAAGTAAAGCGGCATTTGCTTTCTCTCTAAAAGGCAATGGCACACTGGGGACATGAATGTAATAATCTCCTTTAATTTATAGTACTCAAGAAATATTACTAATAGATGAAAATATTTTAAGAATCATTAAGTCGGCTTTGAAAAAGCCTTAAAAAATGATTTCTACTTTTGTATTCAGGCTACTTAAACCCTAAATGTTCTCCAGTAGAAATGCAAAGGACCTAACATTTATCTAGTGTCTGTTGTGAGCCAGGTATAGGTTTTCATATGTAATCAGGCAGGTGTTATTATTACCTTCAGTTTATAGAGAAGGAAACTGACTGTCCAAAGTTACAAACTAAAGAAGCTATAGGACCAAGAATGGACCAAGCTGGGCCTTTCCAGGTATAAACTCAGATTGTTCCCAGGACATCCTATTGCACTGAAAAATTAGTAATGATGACAATTTTGAACTGTCCTATCATACCCTGGGTGTGTGTAGCATTTAAAAATCTTTTATTGCTTGTTCTTTTCATGGCTTAAACTCTGGCACAGGGACAGTTATTTGTGTAGCACAATTGTTATTATTGTGCAGCTTCACATATTCTCTCCGCCCTGGGCAAAAATGAACAATGATGGGCTATATTTATGAAACCAGCAGCTTGGAAGTGTGAGCTCCAGATTACCATTACAATTGTAGTATTTTTCTTATTTTTAATAGCTTAGCACCATTTATGTGGAAGGCCCTTCTCAAAGAATCATGAAAATAAACTGGTTCTTTGTATATTCAGAGAGTTCCTCACAGTCCCCCCTCGTCCCATAGTTTCAATCAATCATCCTGCATTTCTCAACTTTATAAATGCTGGCATCACAGATGTGCAGTGTTCATGAAGAGCTGATATGACAGTTGCCTGCAAAAGCTGGTAAAACAAATAAATAAAATAATTGTGATTTTATTTAATGGTGAGCTGGGGAAGGGAAGTGGGGTTAGAATAAGATTGAAAGATGACTGATAAAAAAGCTGTACAGGATTTAAGATCTCCTCATCAAGCTCATCTCGGGTTTATGGTTATCACAAATCCAGAGCCTCATCTTCAGCTTTCCACATTCAAGAGCACTATTTTATCAAGACTTCTTAGGAATGACTAATTTCTACAGGACACCAGTAACATGTCCTTTATACACAGAAGATCTGTGTATAATTCTCAGTCCTGTCATTACGAATTTGGACAAATTCACCTTCTGTAAAATAATGTAAAAAATAATACCTATAAGATTGTTATGCAAATGAAATAATGTACTAAAAACAGCAGTTTTGGGTTATTA